ACCCTCCGTCGGCCAGAGTCCCACCAATGGTAGTCTCCTCGAGGGTGTCCTCAGCCGCTTCTACAATGGATACAATGGAAGATTGGCGGTTGAAGAGCTTCTTGACAACTTGGTGGTCGGGGGATTTGATCGACATAAGGAAGGTGTAGGGAAGGGCAGGAGAGGCTTGAACCGACAATTGGCCGTCTTTAGCGATGATCACATCCTCCCTGGTAGTATGAACACCATTCTCCATACCAGGCAAGGTGAGCCCGGAGGTTCCTTCAGCCAATGAGACACCGCACGGAGCCGGGTTGCCATTGGCGTCGACGAGGCCGAGATTACAGTACTTCTTGGTAGTAATGTGCATACGCACATTTCCCTCGCCGAAACCAGCTTGAACGCCTATCAAAGGCAGGATCAAACAGGAGACTTTGGACAACATGGTGAGGGGAATACGAACACGAACTATGGTATCTCTTGGCTCAAGGTCGAATCTAACCAGTGCTTACTCAAGAGCGTCACTACACCCCTCCACATATTCTTCGGATCAGGAGCGGAGATATAGTTGGTATTTTGAGGCGCAATTTTAACACGTGGATGCTAAGAATATGTGGAGAAAACGTTTTACCGGTCTTAGACTTCTCACTAACTACGAAGAGTTAGGCCCTGAAACTTGGAGGTCATATCAGGTAAAGCATAAGTACATACCTCCCTGAGCCGCAAGATGATACTCGTTGTGGTGGCTGTGCACGAGTCGAAAAACCGGATATGCTAAGAATATGTGGAGGGGTGTATGTACTTACTCGAGTAAAACTACGATATCCGATGGAGATTCTTCGTTAATGGACCCTCCGAAGCTTACTTTCACAAGCGTTTTCACGCACACAATATTCACGCAGACTACTCATGGGAGGAGGGACTGGCTACAATCTTAGGTTTAACAACCGCAAAAGTCGAACATTAATACTAACATGACGAATATGTGGCTAAGGTATGATATTCGGGTCAACCGAATCGGATGTGAGAGTGAATCAAGGTCAGGCTCGACTTGGCGCCTCTCAAGCGACCTACTTTTCATACGGTCTGGTCACGTGTGCGGATTTCGTGAATTATGGAAGCTGCATGGGTGTGCAGACCGGGCAAGAGCAGAGTATCACGATCGAACTCGGATAATCGGAAGCCTTCTCCGAATATCGACACATT